AGATGCATACAAAAATATTTATCGACATTAAGAGAGAATAGTTGATGCTTTGTCATGGTTCATAAACAATACTGACGAAAAACCATAAGCATGTAGCGAAGTGACAGGACTTCTGTGACAGTTGGAGCGATTGTAGATGGCTTTTATGGCTGTCCATTGGTGAACCCTTCTGGAAAGGTTTAATGCTCGTAACAAGAAACTGCAAAGTGTTGACACAGATTTTGGTATCGTGGTAGAGCTATACAACTCACTAGTTCAGTTTGTGAGGTGTTTGATGTGTATGATGCTTTAGCCATGGAAAAGTCCAATGTGAAGGATTATGACGTCTCACAAAAAGAAGAACAAGGTCGCGACAGCTTCAGTATTAACAAATTTATTGTGATACTTGACAGTCTACGATCACAGCTGGAAAGGCGAAAAACTGCATATGAAGAATTCTATGGAAAATTTGAATTTTTATTCAACCTAGTTCGATTTGAGCCTCAGAAAGTGCAAAAGGGTGCCACAAAATTGCTTGCTACAAGGACGACTTGAAGCCTTCTTTCGTTGAAGAATGTCTTCACTTTCGAGCACACCTTCTGAGCGTCAATGACGAGAATATACCAGTGTAATATGTTGCGAGAAAAATAACTACATGTCGTGTATCCCAACATTGACATCACCACAAGAATATTCTTGTGCACACCATCTACAAATTGTCCAGCTGAACTCTCCTTCTTCATACTAAAACGTGTCAAGAACTATCTACAATCTACAATGTCACAGGATTGGCTTAACGCACTTGCAGTGCTAACGACTGACGCAGATCTCGCACTCTCTATAAACTAAGAGGAGACCATAAATAAGTCAGACTGGAGCAGTTAGATCTAAGAACTTATCACAGTGCTGGCTGTATTGTTTAAATAAACTTAATGTAACTAAGTGATGCAGTGCTTTACGCGTAGTCTAAGTGAAGGGAATGAATGATCTTTTTTCTTCAGGAATTTTGTTTGTTTGTTTGTGGTCAATGAAGAGAGCAGAGGTAGAGGAAGAGGCCGGGGCGGCTCTTCTAGATTTGCCTAGGGGCGGCAAATATCCAAATATGGTCCTATCTGATGGCCAGTTGGCAACTCAGTTGTTATTGACAAAAGTATATAATCTTAACTCCATCCATAAGGAGACCTGATGGTTTCAAAATTAGGAAACAAGTGCTGCCACCTTCATGTCTAGAGTGCTTTATGTGCACCATGTCTACGCTTACTGATTTTAAATATATCTTTCCATTGATGTAAGACACTAGAGTTATATGACCCTATAACTCAGTGTGGGTACTTTACAAAGGCAGATTCTAAGAAATTAAAAAGTCTTCATCATCAAAGGCCACGTTGATGAGCATGGTGGTTTTTTAGCCCCAGATTCTATACTGAACTTGAGCAGCAGCCTTAACTTATTCTGTATTCTAGTCCAACCTAGATCTTTAGTTCGTATGAGGTTTAATTTCAGACTCCTCGTTCCTTAACCCAGCATGGGCCCTCTACCTTATTATGATTTTCTTCTCCACAGAATACATAAAACAAAAATGAGAACGCCAAATAGAAGGTTCAAGAAAAATTAATGCTGGAAAGTTTGCAGTATTCCTAGTGAATTCATAGGTAAATAAAATAAAGTAAAATATTTTTGTTTTATTAAACAATATCATCTAGTTTTACAATAAAGTTACTGAAAACAAATCCACAGTTAGGTTACACTGAGATAAATGTAGCTCTATTATTAGGGCTTAGCCTTACTAGTAAAGCTAGGATAAATGCATTGTGTTTTTTGAGATATAAGACTAATCTAATTCATACTCCTAAACAAAGATAATTTTTTCTTTGCCAAACGGAGATGTTAAAAACTTTGTTTTTTACTATCTACATTCATTATAACCTGACTAAAGAAAAGCACACACACACACAAATAATTAACTACATCATGTAAAACTAAGAAACAAGTATATAAAAAGATACAATAAATCACTGTAAATTTAAATTATCGAAATGCAAAATATCGCACTGTTTACTCTCAAGAACTGGAAAACACTTTTTATTCTACCAAGTATACCACTCTAACGATGTTCCAAACTAAAGCTCTCTCGATAATCTACTTTACTATACTGATGTAGTCTAAATGGATCTAGATTAATTTTTGCACACTTCCACAATTCAAAGGGAAAGCCAATCTTTACACAAACCACAATAAACCTTTTGACACTTCCAAATTTTGCTGTATATTTAACAACATTGTATCTCCTACAACCCAAGAACAAGGTCAAATCACGTTTCCTACAATATCCTCATTCAGGAGCAAACTACAGATGTTTAAACCACTATTTCTCAACCACCCGTTCGTGGGATTTCACGTAAACAAACACACAAACAAAAATTGAAAGAATATTCATATATAAACTCGTAACAGTATTTTTGCTATGAAGAAACTGGTCTGCACACTAAACAGCCTGGATAAGGTTTGTAAGATAGCCAACATCATATAATGACTGCTAACTACACCATATGGTCATTAGGAATTGATAGTCCACGACTGATAAAATCATTATTAATATTAATTTTAGGAGAACAAATGGAATAATTAGCATTACAATGACTGCAGACTATGAAAGAACCGCCAAAAAGACGTTCGTTGGCTAACTAGAAGTCTTCCCCGCAGATGCAAACACTGTATGAATGGAATTGGAGACATGTTTGTTAATTAATATCTCTTTTTGAAATTTGTGACCTTTTACGCAAGTCAGTTCAGTTAGAAATTAATTCTGATCACATGAATTGGAGAGTACTAGCAATGAAACTAGTTCATTAATATATTCAGCAGATAAATGATGCTCTTAAAATACACTATTTTCAGTTATCTTAATTCGATAATGCAATCTTGTCCCTTTAATTGGTTGGAGTGGTTAAGTACACTGGGTTTTAAATAATAAAACTTCGTGGTGCAAGAACACAATTCGTTATTTTCCTAGTATAGCATAATGCTACCTAAGACAGTTTTTTCATAACTTGTACTTAAATATATTATTGTTATGAGTTTCACCATATCAATCATGTTGTGATAGTATCTTCACATCTTTTACAATTATAAGCCGATATCACACCGTACGTATATGAAACTGTGTTTTTATTTATAATGAGAGTAAACATAACTTCGTTTGAATCATACTAATTTCGTTCTACCAAACATCATAATTAAAAATTAGTAGAAGATCAATTGCTTGTATTATATTATAATACTAGCTGAAGTACCGTCTTCTGGACGGACGTTATGTAAATTCATGATTAATGAAAGTTATCGTAGGACATGAAAAGTTGCTTCCCTTATACGTAATTGTAAAAAAAAACACAAACAAAAACTACAAAACACAAAATATGAATTCGCAAGTTTGCGTGTATCTCGGTATGGACTCAACAAATCTTCATGCCAATTTAGGTGAAAATCCATCAACAGGGGGCAAGGTAGTGGTAAAAACGCCATAAAACTGCAAAACGTGAAATGTAAAACTGAAAATTTGTATTAGGTCGTCAAGAAATTAATTTCGCTTCTTTTTTAGATGAAAAACCCGAACAACTTATATATCAAACAAAACATTCATAAATGAAATAGTCTCCATTCTT